CCCCCCCCCCCCCCACCCCGACGCATGAAGAATATGTAAAAGGCGGGTATGCCTGGTTTCAGTGCGCCCGCACCAGTTTGATTCTTCCGTGTCGAGAGAGACAGCATAATGACACGAATTCGAGGAGAACGAGAGACAAGGAGAGAGAGGGAGAGCCATACACACAGAGAGAGCGAGACGTGCGTGCAGCAACTGCACTTGCCGTAGGTTATGTGTGCACCTACCTATGATATGTGGTTGTACCTCTCCATGTACACGCTTAGAGGAGAGAGGGTTGACATTTGGACAGGCGGTACTACTGCTGCAAGCTGCTAAGCTAGCAGCGTAGCAGCTTACAGCAGTAGTACCACCTGTCCTACGCTACCATGTTGGCTGCTGGCAGTGCGCGGGCCCTTTAACCCGTTCCATGCTAGAGGTCACGTAGGAAACGTCTGTGGTGCATGATACCAGTAGTTATAGCCATGCAGGCGAGCATGCTGGTGGCTATTGTGGTAGCAGGCTGTTTATTTCTTGCTGTTGCCGTATTGCCTGCTGCTGCTGCTGCTGCTGAAGTGTTGTATAGGCGTTCTGGTTTCTGGGGACGAACCTCAAGCAGCCCAGGTCACAAATAAGCGACATATATCTCCGTAGGTGTTTCCCCCCCACCCCCCCCCGTGCTTGAAGATCTTTCAAGTCCGGGGTATGCAGTCGTGCCGTGCCCCAGCAGCAGCTTGATACAGCCGAGCAAGTCCGAGTCGAGAGTCGGGAGAAACAGCATGAATTCAAGCAGAAATAGACATAAGAGAGAGATAGATACATGCAGGAAGTCCTGTGATGACGATGCCGTATGCTATGTGTGTGTCTACGATGTGTGTTGTACCTGTCCATCAACACGCTTGGAGGAGAGGGTAGATCCACGCTGCTCTGTGGTTCCTAACCGAAGTACACAGCCATCACACAACTGCTACGAACCTACACTGCTTGGTGGCTGGCAATCGGTTTCGTGCTAGCTCATGGCAGTAGCAACCGTCTGTGTTACAGCAGTAGTAGCCTGTAACCTAGCAGCCTGGCAGCAGCCTGGCGGCTGTTGTGTATGTATGATGGCTGCTGCTAGCTCGTTGTTGTTGTTGTTGTTGTTGTTGTTGTTGTTGTTTCTCACGTTAGCTCTAAAAAAGGAAGATTGGGAGCCCGTGGTCTCAAAACCCGGCATACACGACCCCACGAAGAAACAGAAAAAAATAGGGTACAAAAACCACTCGGNTGAGCAGCCGGGTAGGAGTAGAAGTGTGTTGCCTGCTGGGGAGACGGCACTGCTGCTGTGGTGCGGTCCGGCAGACCGTTATAATTTGGAACCCCACCCCCCCCCCCC